TAATTATTGTGTACGGATTTATTAGTGGAATTTAATGATGATAAACAAAAATATAAATGTTGGATTCAATGAGAGAGAATGTGATTTATTTAATGACTTAAATGTGAAACTTAATGATAGGTAATTGAATGTACTTAATGGTATTCTTTTAATTACATATTCTGCCCTTTCAATGGAGATGAACTAAATTCAAGAAGAGAGGTATTTCAATAAATAAAAATTCCAAAAGCCAATAGCTCCTCATTCACACTTTTATAAGTAGTATGGACTACTTGTTTATTCTCTTGATTTAAGAAAGGTTTTTCATGAAGCCTTCAATCCATAAGATTGCTATTGTAATGATTAGGCTAAACAGGGCATTCAAATCTAACAATAGTTATTGCTTGAATTGGACCGTGGGATTTTGGTTCATAGATGGTCTAGGGGTGGAAAATAGACGACTATAGGGAGTAAGCTATTTGTAATTAACGATGATTGCAGTGGTGTTCAGCGGTTGGTTAGGTTAATAGAGATGACAGAACACCTTGGGGCTAAGGTTCAAAGTATCGGAAATGCAATGCATATTGGAGAGGCAATTTTAAGAGATATATATTAAGATATGCTTTGGATACGTATGAATATGGACAAAAAAATTAAGAAACACATGGATTCTCTAAGAAACTCATATGAATTTTTAAAGACTATATTAATAATGATAAATATAAGATTTATATGGCTATACATAAGTTATTTAAACATAAAAAGCGTACTTTAATGGTCTATATAAAGTGTGAAATATCGGGACACAATTGGGAATCATTGAAAAATGATGGAAGAACTAAAATGTATATACACACACCTTGGTTTTAACAAATCAATATAATTTGTATACATATTTATTATTAAAAATTAGTTTTTATTGATAGCCATCCACTAAAAAGTGAGTTTAATTAAAATTAAAATACATATTAATATGACAATAAGCATTTAGGATATGTCATGGTGGTGGACTTGTAGTCATTACAAATTACTGACTAGGGTTTAAATCCCTTTTCTCCTACTTGTGATTTTTAATAGAAAATTTACTCACGTGTCAAATTCAAACTTGAATTTGAACATTACTTTAAATATAGTCTTAAATGTAGTATTTAATTTGCCTTTTAATGGCAGCCATTAAATTTGACATTTAATTAAGAGTGATATACATTAAATTTGAATTAGAAAAGTTACTAAAATTGAGTGAGAAAGAGGGAAAAGAATTGGGCTGATTCTAATGACAAGAATTAGGCACTGGACAAAATGCAATGTATTGGTCTGTATTGATTGATACATTGCAAAATTTCAAACCTTGTTTGGGCCAACAAAGATGATGTTTGAAGCTCAGCTTGATCCCTATAAAGAGGTTAGCCAATTTGGTGAAGAGGTGGAACTATCCATTGTTGCTTTGAAGCTCAATGGGTTCAACTAGATGGGGTCACTTGTATGTTGGTTCAGTTATGCTCTGGTCAAGTTTGAACAAAATATGTAAGCTGAAGGAAGGGAGAGTGTTGGACAAAAGTAGTCATTACAAAAGCTACAAATAAGAATGGCAACGGGGAAGGTTCAAGGCAGGGAACCCTTCCACATCCCTGCACCATAGACAAAAATCCCCTATCTTGTTGTCACCCTATCCCTGGTGGTGGGGTGGAGAACCCCTCCTCATCAAGGATAGGGGAATCCCCAATTTTTTCCCACTCAAAGCAACCACGTTATATACATCAAATTTAGGGGGCATTTTTAAAAATGGTATTATATGAATTTTGGACATATTTTAGAAGTAGTATTATGAGATCATAGGCTTTAGGTAATCTAAGGGAAACTTAACAGTATTTTAGAAATTAATAATAAACTTATGGGTATTTTAATAATTTATCACTAGGTTTGGGTAATTATATACAAACCTCATCACTACCTCATCCCCAATTTGGAGCAAAAAAAAATTTCCCATCTCCATCCTGTTCTCATTTAAGATTGGGGAAAACCTGCCCCATTCAAGGTGGGATAGCGTGGGGCCCCGATTTAATAGGGAGATTTGCCATCCCTATTTAGAAGGTGAAGTGGTAAAGGCATTGATCTTTGAATTTTCCATCAATATGTTTGCAAGGGTTAATTGATTTTAAAGCTTTTCTTACATTGGGGGTAATCTCATTTTTAGGACTTGAACTTTCAAATGTGCTACTTTAGTACTTGAACTTCTAGAAATATATATTTTAGTCCAATTATGTTAAACTAACATTACAATAAGGGGTAAAATTACAAAAGTGCCTATGTTTCAACTCTCTTTTTTTTTTTTCACCGGTCATCTTTCTTCTATTTTTGGACTTTAGTCGCAAGCTAATGGTGGTAAGGTGAGCTTACTTTGTTGCTACTGATTTGTGTCCAAAGTCTAAAGGCTGAAGAAAGATGAGAAGAATAGAAAGAGAGTTAGAATATGGGCATTTTAATAGTTTACTCACCATAATGTTAGTTTAATGGAGTTGGACTTAAATGTATATTTTTGAAATTAAAGTCCAGGTACTAAAGTGACACTTCAAGATTTGAACTGAGACTACCCCCAAAGTACATGGTACCTATCCTCGATTTACCCTTAATTTCTTAGTATGCATAGAAGCCAAGGCAAGCATCGACATTTCCTATATAACATAGATGCAGCATTTGGTTGTGTCTTTTCACATGTCTTTTTAAGCTTTGGCAAGCTCATAGAGTTGATTTTTGGTCTTATTTCGTTTGGTAACAAAAACAAAAAATATTGAAGATGTGGACTTGGAAAAAAAAAACATAAAGATCAAAACCATTGAATTTTATAAGCTTCATATGAAACTTTTGGGTCTTTTGTGCAATAAATAAGGGCCCGTTTGGCAAGCCTTTTTGAGAAGATCTTCTTGTAGGCTTGTAGCTTTAACAGTCAAAAGACGCATTGAGCTTTTGACATAAGATGTAGGCAACCCAAAGACTGTTTAGGAGACGCATGTCTTTCTGCGCGAGCGTAAAATGCAAAAGACGCGAAAAACTCCATTTGGAGCTTCCCGAAATCAGCCCAAAATGGTCTTTTCGCATCATTTTGGCATTCTGTCTTTTGGCAGCTAGATCTTCCGCACGCCAAATAGAAATAGACGAAAATTCGGTCTACTCGACTTGTAAACAACCAAAATACCGCATGGAAAGATGCACCAAACACCCCCTAAGTCTTTAAATGCATTTTTTAAAGCTTAGTGGACCAAACTGTTTATCAAACAAGATATGATTAACTATTGAACACAATAATTGTTTAGCAGGTTGTGGAATTAATGATAATGCCCCACACCATGATAAAATGCATGGGATTCAACCTCTCATTGTGGTCCCATGTATTTTATGAGTGGCATGGGGCATTATCATTAGTTCAACTTTCACAACCCACCACACAACTATAGCATTAAAGCTAATCCAGTTATTTGAATTCTTACCAAACTGTCTAGATCAAGATCAGATTTAGCATAAAATGGTGCTCACACTGTACTCAAAGTAGCGTGCAAGTGTGCATTGGGAATATCTCCCTATGAATAAAAATATACAAGTATAGAGATATTCCCATTACACAATTGCAAGTGGTTGTGAGTACAATGTGTAGGAGGGGTAGGGCTGGGGTGAGGAGCAGTCTCTTTGAAAGACAGAGAAGGGTCTCGTGGACAAGGAAGTGAGGATCTTTGGGTTGAGGATGTAGGAAATGGGGATAACTAGGGGGTACTAGGTAACAGATTGCTTGGGATCGGATGATTGCTGATACGAGGAAGATCCCTATTTATGGAAGGGATCCCAAGATCCTAAAAGGTAGGAGATGAGGATATTCGCTTCGTATCAGGGAAGGGAATATTTGATTCGTTGTCAATTATTGGATGCGCTACTGGGGTATCGCCACGTGTTTCATGAGGATCCTCTCAGTGATTGGCTTTCCTTATCCTCGAGATCCCTCATTATTCACGTGTGCTACTGTTTTTTTGTGCATTATAACTAATCTTATGTGGCATGGTAACGTCACCGTTCGGCGGTTGGTACTTCGCTGATTCCACATGGTGGCTCACAGGGTTCTTTGCTGTTGTGGGTTCGTGTGCGTTCGGGCACACACGGGCCTCGCCATGGGTTCGGCCTGCTGTCCCTTCTAACTTGTCGTTAAGAGTGGGCTCGTGGGCTGTGAGTTCATCGCACGTTGTAGCAGGTGTAGCTTCATTGCACGCTCAAGTGGGCTTGGGTCCTTTGGATGGGTCCTTGTGGGGTTTTTTTAGGTTCGGGCGCTGACTGGGCTCGATGGACTACGAATTTATCGTGGTTTTGTTTCGTGTATTGTGAGTTTATCGCAGATGTGACGGTGTGTTACAGGTTCATCACAGCATGGGGATCGATTGCAGATTGCTCGCATATGCTTCTATGGTGTTAGTCTTGATGTCTGAGTGTTCTTTGAAGGTCTGAATAAGCAGTATATACCTACACAATGTAAACACTATTTTGTGAGGATTGAATTCGATTTCATTTTGATCTTAATCCCATAAATTCATTACGTCTTTTGGCCAAAGGGCACTATGCTTTTCCATTTTGGAAACACACAGCTTGGCTCAGCCCTCTCGTAAGAAGACAAAGAGACGAGACATTGAGATCAGATTTGGTCCTCATAGAAGCATGCTTACACTGTCCTTATAGGAATTGGGATTTGCATCTTACACCAATCTCACAGCCACGTTCCACCACCGTGTATTGAAAATATTTCTCCATAGATAATAAATACAAATAGGGGAGATGTTTTAAATATGCGAAAAGGACATGTAAGGAGCGCTCCGTAATGTATAGATCCTGTCCCTCCTCATATCCTATTGCACTTGTGCATTTGGAACTCGATGTGATGTGAGATATTCTCAATGTACAGCTGTAATAGGCAGGACAAAATCTAACTCCGAGGCATTAGGGCTATAGGCTGTGCTTGGTTTCCCTACCTTTCCCTTCTTTCGACCCAAACACAGCATTAGAGAGAGAAACCTATAAATAATTCCAGTGACTTCGTTGAGCTTGAACGAACCATATTGTTAAAAAGTAATCAGAATATGCATTTGGCGGGGATCACCCCATGATTAATCCATCCAAATATATTCCTTCCATGTTCATACTTTGCTTCGCCTGCACTGCGAGTAAGAAGAAGCTTTGACTGCGTTTCAGGAAACCAGGGTTCTAACCTCTACATCTTCCTCCGCTCCTCGGTTCTCTCCAAATGGAGAATGGGATCGGGATAATTGAGGGTTTCATAAGGCAAAAGTCCATTACGTCCCTCTTCCGCAGTGGTCGAAAGTCGGAAGAAGAGACGAGCGATGACTTTTCCAAGCCCATCCCTCAACTATCTCCTATCGCTAATTCCGTCGTCAGTCGTTGTTCCAAGTAACATTCGTTCTTTTCTCTCGTGTCAAATTCATTTGTGCATAAGGAACTAGGGTTTATTTGTGCTTACTTACGTGGTTTACGGCGAAGATGAAGTTGTAGGTTGTCTTAGCTTGACCTCATTAAATGGTGACTAGGATTATCTAGGTCTACCCAGATACTGAAGAATTCAGCTACCAGTAATTTGATCAATGTAAAAGCAGATGCATTTAATATCTTTTTTTGTAGCCTGTTGGGTACCATGTGAAATGACATGGCTATATTCTGGGATTTCCTTTTGAGTTTATTTAAGGATGAGCTCAATTTCAAGTTTTGAAGAATGCACCCAGTTAGAGGTTTTCTTTACAACCAGAAGTGAATCTGTTTTAGACAAGAGTAAATGACCGTATGGGTTCAATACCATGGAACAGGAGAATGAAATCTTTCTTCCAAGTGGAATCCAAAAAGCCCATTAATTTGACCATCTTTAAGCGGAGAATGCCTCTACTATAGGTTATACAGGAGTCCAATACTTAGTTTTGGCAAGCTGACTTACAGAATAAAACAGAGCCTATGCCTTTTTTCGAGAAGCATGGATTTCTGCTTCTTTTCTTGGCTCTTTTGTTCCCTTCTGTTTTCTTTTCTGTTTGGTATGCCTCTTTAGACCATTAAGATAAATTTTTGCTACTTTTCAAGAAAAAAAAAACACAATAAGTCCCTAAGACCCCTTCCAGGAAATTAAAAATAATATCTGCTTGCAGTAGAATTGCCACAGTTGCGTTGCTGAGCATGGGCCTTGGTGCAATGGTTGGGTTGCTCCATTGCAACCTGGGTGACTCAAATCTTGGAAACAGCCTCTCTGTATGCACAGGGTAAAGCTGCGTACATCTGTTCCTCCCCAGACCCACATTTGTGGGAGCCTCGTGCACTGGGCTGCCCTTTTTTATCTGCTTGCAGTAGAATCCAGTGTTTCGGAATCTTGTTTGTAGTATGAGAGAAACCCAATGTTTCATATGGATGCAGACATGCAAATTAAAATCAATCTATGGAGTGTTGGAATCTAATGTGAGTCCAGCATGGATACTTTGTCCACTTATGTGAGTCCATGTAATACTGGCAAAATACAAAACAATATGCATAAAAAATGACGTGGTTCTCACTTTACTTCTCTGCTTTGCCTTCCTTTAAGATTCCTTGTACTATCACAGGATTCTTCAAATTCCAACAGAAGAATTGCAACATTGCTTCGAGACTCAGCTGCCTGAGCATGCTCAGCATGTTTCTACTTATGCTCGAAATTTGCTAGAATTCTGCTCATATCAAGCACTCAATGTGTTGACTCAACGCCCAGATTATTTGAGTGATAAAGAATTCAGCTTATTGACATATGATATGATGCTTGCATGGGAAGACCCTGGTGTTAAGAGCGAGCCTGAGCCCTTACACAAAGTAAGACAATCATCATTTTTAAGAAGCGTTGAAGATTGCTCTTTTTTCTGATCATTGAAATACTGAAGATTAATGTTATCTATCTATCCGTAGATAGATTTTTTTGAACAGCAGGACTCTTACTAATGTGAGGCTTCTATACACACTTTTATTTTATGTCATAGGGAGATGAATCTTGCAATGTTCAGGAAAATGAGAATGAGGATGGATGGTCATTTTTTTATTCAAATTCAACAAACATGGCTGTTCAGGTTCCTCCACACATCCTAAATATTCTCTGTTTCTCTACAAATTGGTAAATCATTTAATACATAATGTAAGGTGGTGGAAAGCTGCAATCATATTACTTTACACAGAATGTTTCTTTGCAAATTGCTAAATCATTTAATGCATAATGTAAGGTGGTGGCAAGCCACAATCCTATCACTTACAGTGTTCATACATGCAGAGATATTGGGCCAGATGAGCCTTAGTTTAGTTTAGTGTTATATTTATTATTTTTATTTTTTTTTGTGTTAATGGGCCAGTCAACCTTTTTTCTTTAAGTTTATAAGCATCTGCCCTGTACAAGGGTATCTACGTAATTATCTCTAAATTTCTTTTGATTTAATTAATAAAAATTTGGAACTGGAGAGAGAGAGTTCAATATTCTCCTCTCCTCCTTTGTTTCTCTTCTCTTCTCTTCTCTTCCTTTCCTGCTCTCATACTTTTATCTTTCTTGCTGCATTTTCTAATTATGGGAAGAAATAAGTGCTGGTTATTTTTCTTCTTGGTATTAGAGCATATAACTATCTTTTTTTCTTTTCTCCTTAATCCCATACACATTGTGTATGGAGAATTGAATGGATAATTGATTAAAGAAGATAATCAGCCCAGTTGGTAGAGGATTTCAGGAGAAAAGAGGCGATCAGATTGGTGCTCAAGACAGTTTTTGGAGTTCTTGCCCAAAACCCTAGAAACTGGAGATTTTTGAATTAAGGGTCCTAGAGGGGTTTCCAACTTGGAGCTCAGGGCTTGAAGGGATCCTTTTTAATTGCTATAGAGATTGGTTCAAGTAGAACTGATTTTTGGAAGGCCTACAAGGGGCAGTTGGGTTTTTTCTTGTTTTCTCTTGGGTTTCTGGGTATGGTGAAATCACAATCTGGGGATCCTGTTGAGGTCAGTTTTAGTTGTTATCTTTTCCAATGATTCTTATTTGCTGTTTGAATATTGGTTCTTGAATTTTTAGAAACAATGAAGCACTCTGAAGTAGAAATCAAGCATAGCTCAGAGTTTGGATGGGCTCCAAGAGCCTCTGTTGACCCTCTCTAGCCATGACCATAGTGAAGCTTGATGGAACCAATTGTTTGGCTTGGTCATAGTCAGTCAGAATATATGTTTGTAGTAGAGGAAAGTGGGGGTATATTTCTGGTAGTAAGAAGGAACCTTAGGAAGATGATCCCTCCCACGAGACGTGGATGCAGGAAAATTATATTGTTATTGGTTGGTTGGTGAATTCAATGCAACCTCATATCAGCCAACGTTACTTGTGGATAAATTCTGCAGAGGAATTTGGGATATTGTTGTAGAGACGTACTCCCAGAAATTGAATGTGGCTAGAGCATATAAGCTAAAAAATGATGTGAATAATTTATGACAATGGGAAAAACCATTAGCCGTTTATTATTCAATGCTGAAATCTCTGTGGCAAGAAATTGATTTTGATGGAGGTGATTGCTTGGGAGAGTAAAAAAGATGTTGAAACATATAGAAAACTTGTGGAAAGAAACAGGGTGTTTGAATTTCTTATAGGGCTGAATCCAAAATATGACATTACCAAACAAAATATATTGGCAAAGGATGATGTTACCCTCTCTCATGCTGATTCTATGGTGAGTAGTGAGGAAAGCAGAAGGAAAGTACAAGTTCAGGGGTAATTCCGGTTGACCACTTTGCTAATGTAGGGGCGAAACTTGTATCGCCACATAGCCTCTTCAGAATTTTTCAACCAACCCACCACCACTTTGGAATCCCCCTCGGTTATTAGGTGTTGTACCCCCAGCTGGTTTGCAAATTGCACCCCTTGTACAACAGCTAAAAGTTCTGCCTTGATGGAGTTCCCAAATCYCAAGGGACCTGAGTAAAGCAACAAAATCTCTCCCTTCGCATTTCTCAAAGCACCCCTCATTCTGGATAAACCTGGATTACCCATGCTACTTCCATCAAAGTTCAACTTTAGTGAGCCTTCGGATGGAGGAGACCGACTTGTAATTGATTTGTTCTTTAGAGATGAACACCTCGCTATTGCTGACCAATTTCTCAAAAGGTCATTAAAGGAGAATTGATGAAATATTTCTAAGGTCTTCAGCCAATGTATTGCCCTATTTAACACACAGTCTTTCAAATCCTGGCTGCTCCTTTCCTTTTCTTGAAAGATTCTAAGATT